AGTATCCCATACTAAATTCTCCAAACCTCTATCTTTAGAGTAGCTCAAGTGATGAGGTATTAAGTATCCCATACTAAATTCCCCAAACCTCTATCTTTAGAGTAGCTCAAGTGATGAGGTATTAAGTATCCCATACTAAATTCCCCAAACCTCTATCTTTAGAGTAGCTCAAGTGATGAGGTATTAAGTATTTTTTCAAAGATAAAGCTGTTCCTCTTATGTCTGATTTTAAAATAAAATCTTTTTAAAACTTTGCAATATATGTAGGTCACAGATGTATAGTGAACTCCCACCTGGCACACAGTGCTGGAAAACTTTAAACTAGGCTTTTTATCTTGTACTGTAGATTGTTTCATTGTCATTTGTTTTTTTGGCAAATTTCAGTTGGAAATCGTAGTATATATTGTTGCTTTATTAGTATGTCTGGCCCACCCAGTGGCACAGCGGTATGTCTGCGGACTTACACTGCTAGAAACTAGGTTTTGATACTTCGTGGTGGGCAGAGCACAGATAGCCCACTGTGTAGCTTTGTGCTTAACTACAAACAAACAATAGTATGTCTGGTACAGATTTCAGTTCATAATTACAATTTAAATTGTTGCATTACTTGTAAATCTGGTACAGATTAGAATTTGAACAAACAAAATATATTACTTGTTTTGTGTTATGTAAACAAATTAAATATAGGGAGAACAAATTGCCCTATCATTAATTTCACATAAAGATTATTTATCAAAAATCTTATTAAGACGTCACTCCAGATCTTTTGTTTGGGAAAAATCTGCAGCTCATACACTTTTTTTTTATGTAGGACAATACCGCTGCAGTAATTTTATGTAATTTAAAATATGTTCGAGCCACAGTGTATGGGTTAAGGAAAACAATTTAGGGACCTATTGGTCCATCTAAGCCATTACATCTACTATGCTAAACTATAAAATAAAAACAAAATGCTTAAAGTCAGCCCTTATCATTCACATACTTATTAAGCTTTCTCTTAAGCTCAAGGCCAACCACCTTGTTAGAAAAATAAAATTGTCTTAGCTGAAGATGACTCCTAACTTGCCAAGATTTATGTTTGTGTCTCCTTGTCCTACCATTCTCACCTTCAAGTACAAACAAAAAAAGATGATGTATTAACACTGCCAGTTCCCTTTACAATCTTAAACACCTCAATCAAACCCCCTCTGACTCTTCTATTTTCAAGAGAAAACAAGTTCAGAGATGATAACCCCTCCATCCCATTCCAGTAGTCCTTCTCTGAACTCTCTCCAACAATTCTTTGTCCTTTCTAAGACAAGGAGCCGAAGACTGAACACAGTGCTGTAAGAGTGGTCTAACCAATGAAATTCTAATCTCTTTAGACTCATATTCAGTATTTCTGTAAATAAAACCTAAAAAATCCTATTTGCTATATTGATTGGATGTCTTAAGAGACTGAACAATCGGAACACCAATATCTTTTCTTTCCATAACAGTGTTCAAATTATTCCCATCAAAGTTATATTCATATCATATATAAGTACACATGTGGTGGCCGTAATGGTACTTACAAAGCTATATGCCAATTACACCTGTGAACATAATGGGAGTATCAAGCAGAACTGGTAAAAAAACTATCAAATCCACCAGACTCCACAATTCACACACATAGTGAAAACACTAACCACCCCATCTTGATTACGAATTTCAAAGTCATCTCATCTGGATCATCCAATACTGAACTCTTAATTAAACAAAGTTTATCTATTATAAATTAACTCCCAACTATAAATAATAACACAACTTCACTACAATTAAATCTGTACTTGTATAATATTGTTACATTATTCTATTCTCTGTTTATCTGTTTGTACACTTGTATAATATTGTTACATTATTCTATTCTCTGTTTAGTTGGTTGTACGTAACAATATTATACAAGTAGAATAATCAACCAATAAACAGAGAATGTAGTAACAATATTATACAAGTAGAATAATGTAACAATATTATACAAGTGTACAACCAGATAAACAGAGAATAGAATAATCAACCAATAAACAGAGAATGGTACAGACATTTTATAAAAAGTAATTATAATACAGAATAAAAGGATGAAATAAATTAAGAGAGAATAATTTACCATGTTCAGTATAGTTTGCTGATGGAATATGTATATTCCAAAACGTTCAAGAATTAAATGTTTGTTACTGAACGTACATGTGTATAGTGTTTGTTACTGAACGTACACGTGTATAATGTTTGTTACTGAACGTACATGTGTATAGTGTTTGTTACTGAACGTACACGTGTATAATGTTTGTTACTGAACGTACACGTGTATAGTGTTTGTTACTGAACGTACACGTGTATAATGTTTGTTACTGAACATACATGTGTATAATGTTTGTTACTGAACGTACACGTGTATAGTGTTTGTTACTGAACGTACACGTGTATAATGTTTGTTACTGAACATACATGTGTATAGTGTTTGTTACTGAACGTACACGTGTATAATGTTTGTTACTGAACGTACAACGTGTATAGTGTTTGTTACTGAACGTACACGTGTATAATGTTTGTTACTGAACGTACACGTGTATAGTGTTTGTTACTGATCATACGTGCGTATAATGTTTGTTACTGAACGTACACGTGTATAGTGTTTGTTACTGAACGTACACGTGTATAATGTTTGTTACTGAACGTACACGTGTATAGTGTTTGTTACTGAACGTACACGTGTATAATGTTTGTT